TGAAAATCAAACCAGAGGCTCGATGCCTTTCACAATAGCAACAAAGAAAATAAAATACCCAGGAACATATCCGATGAGGGCAATAAAAGACCTGTACGGGGAGCAGTAGGAAGCCCTGAGGAGGGAAATCACAGTGGACACAAACAACTGGAAGAACATCACGCTCGTGGATTGGCAAAATCAACATTGTTCAAGTGTCTATCTATATTATTCAGAGCAATTACAGATTCAATGCACTCTCCGCTAAAATATCAATGCTATTTTTTGAAGATCTAGAAAAAATGATTTTTATGCTTTATTCAGAAAAGACCCTGAATAGCCAAAGCAACCTTAGAAAGAAAAGGACAAATTTGGAGGTATCACCTTATCAGACTGCAAGCTATACTACAAGGTATAGTCACCAAAACAGCATGGAACAAAAACAGAAACACAGACCAGTGGCTATTAACAGAAAATCCAGGTACGAAAACTTCCCCATGTCACCATCTGATCTTTGACAAAGCAGAAAAAAAGAGTCCCAATTCCACAAATGGCGCTGGGAAACTGGGTGACCAGATGCAAAAGACGGAGACAGGATCTGCACCTCTCGACACTCACAAAAATTAACTCACGGTGGATAACAGACTCAAAACTAAGGCAAGAAATTACAAGAACTCTAGAAGGATAGATTGGAAAAACTCTTATAGATACCAGCTTAAAAAAGAATTTATGAAGAACCCAAAGCAGTCACAGCACAGCAACAAAATAAATGAGACCTATCTTAAGTAGTGAATATTTTTATGAATTACAATAGAACCTCTGCCTCTGTAACTTGACCACCCAACATACTTTAACAAACTGGCCAATATACAGAGGTGGTCAGCTGGAGGAATGAGGTCTGCTGTCCTGATACGTACATGTGGTGCATGTGTGGTCCATGAAAACTAAGTCGGCCTAAGGAAATGGTCAGTGTAGGGAGGCGGTCAGCTATGGAAGTTCTTCTGTATCTTAATCATAAATTATACTCTCTTTCTCATTATTTCTATACATTTATAAAAATGCAACTGTACATTATAAAAATCCAGATGAAGACCAGATCTTCAAAGTTGTTTACTCACTTTCCTACAATGAAATCGTATCTTTCTTATAGAGAGTTGTCAGTTTTCATCTAATGAAATGACGGTGTGGTATCTTTCTTTTCATAAATTATATTTAACGTGTAAGACCCATGACGGGAGAAACGGAACTGCTTTAGTTCACTGCTGTGCTTCCAGGATGATAACATTACTCTGAGTATAGAAAGCTGTTGACGGATAACTGAATGAGTGAGGGACAGTTACACACATCAGCATCATAACGCATCCTTCAAAACTGAGTCTGACTCATCACAGGTGCACATGCTAAGATAATAATACCTGTGAATTTGGGCTTTATCTTAGAACTTAGGTATTTAATAACACAATCAACCATTTAAAAGTGAAGACATCAAATAAATATCAACACAGACACAACCTGGACACAGCCAGCTTAATGTAGAATATTTTATTCACCTGTATCCATTAACGTTAATGCCAGTAACTTCCAAACTGAGTTTTCCAGCACCTGGGACCTGCTGACGGGCTGCCCAGCGTGAATGGCGCCACCCTCCACCCTGGCAGAGTGGTTCACAGGCACCGAGCACGTTAGCTGACTGCAACCGGCCTTGCCGGCCTCCAGGGCCATCTTCAGTCTCTCTCACTGTCTCTCTCCCTGATACCTCCTGCTCATTCTCTGCCTGCTCAACCTTTTATCGCGTAAACCCAGTGTCAAATGAAAAGGAAGTCTTAGAGCATTTCTGCTTATAAAATTTAGATGAATGGTGTCAAATCATAAAACTATGGCCACACCTGTGTAAGAAGAGGAAAAAATACCAAAGAAAAATCACATTGTGAAGAGTCCAAAATGATTTTTATAACGGCAGAGTTGTACCTTCAGACATATGGAAATATTCTAGATGGTCTTGTATTTAGATTCCGTGTTTGAGTTGATCTTCGAATGCCAGAATAACATGCAGAATACTGATCCTTTAGGCTAGTAACAGTTCCCACTATGAAATAACTATCCTGTTTGTTTGAATTTCTTCAATAAACTTTCAAATTTAGAATAGTTTTCTATATACACAAAAACAGGAAAATAATAGACTTCCTGTACACCTTACACAGGATCCTCTAGTGAAAGTATAGCACATTAATCCATTTACATGGTCACAATTAATGAACCAATATTGATAAATTATTATTAACTAAAGTCAAAACTTTATTCAGATTTCTTTTTCTTTTCTTTTCTTTTCTTTTTTTTTTTTTGAGACAGAAAGTCTCACTTTATTGCCCTTGGTAGAGTGCTGTGGCATCATAGCTCACAGCAACCTCCAACTCCTGGGCTTAGGCAATTCTCCTACCTCAGCCTCCCAAGTAGCTGGGACAACAGGTGTCCACCACAACACCTGGTTATTTTTTGTTGCAGTTTGGCCGGGGCCAGGTTTGAACCCACCACCCACCATCCTCGGTATAAGGCCAGTGCCCTACCCCCTGAGCCACAGGCACTGCCTGAATGTGAGCATTTTAACTTGTGCACCTCTATACAT